TGTCCAAACACTACTGAGATTGAATAAGGACTATATCACCATCCATTTGTATTCGGCTGGGTCATGTAGTTTGCTTTGACCAAAAGAATATTAGCAGATGTGATTTTTTAGCACAGGATTGAAATGTGCTTGTCCCCTTCAGTGCCCACCTTTCTTCTTTTCTAAAAAGAGTATGCATTTGGTAGCTCTGACTCAAGAAAAATTAGATATATGCAAAGCAGAGCAGGCTCCCAGCCCACAACTGGGAACCAAACCTAACTTCTCTGAATCAGCTAATCTCAACTGATCACAGACATAGGAAAGAAAAATAATCTCTAATTTTATAAGGTTTTTCATTGTTAGTAATAGAATAATTTAGAAGATAATAAGTTACTGATCTCAAATTTCCACTGGATGCTGAGATTCTACCAAAAAAATCCCCTATCTCTGTCATACATAAATATTGGCATATAAGTGCTAAAATAAAACTGATTACAGACATAGAAAATAGCATATTTCAAAAATAATAATGTAAAGTTACAAAAAAAAAGTCAATTCAGGACAGAAGTTAGGGACTATTACAACTCTCCATGCTATCTGAAACAATAACCAGGCTAACACAGCGCTTATGGATTGCTTTATATGAAAATACTTCCACAAAGATAATTACACTGTGAAAGTGTTATAATCTCAATTAACCTGATGCACTCAAATTGGAATGCTTTTGTTATTTTATAAATAGTATTTTTAAAGAGTATCCATTTTGTAACTTTTCATAGTAAAACAAGATTTCCATTTATTGATTTTAAGATAAATTTACTGAAACACAGGAGGAAAACTTTTGTTTGTTTCCTTTGCGGGTATGCGTGTGTGTGTGTGTGTGTGTGTGTGTGTGTGTATGTGTGTGTGTGCATGTGTGCATGTGTGTGTGTGTGTGTGCACGTGTGCGCGCGTGCGCTGCTACCAGGCCTTCAACTCAGGATCCCTCTTTCTCACTTTGTTACTCATAGCTGATGTTCTACCACTGTAACCACACTTCCAGTTCAAACTTAGTTACTTTTAAATGTACTAGTTCCTCTCCCTGCATTAGATAAAGACTTAAGGTATAGTTACCTCTGGGGGGAAAAACTGATTATTTACTTCACGGTTCAAACTCAAAGTAAGAATCATTATAGATATGGTGCCATGGATAATCTGTAGAAAAAATAAATTAGGCCAACTATGCACTTCCAACTACCCTCTGGAAGTTTCTCTGGAAAATGTAAGTATGGTCTTGTCCTTATCAATGAAAAGAGGAATTTAGAGAAAATAATACTTATTTAAAACCCTTCAGTCAAGTTCTGATTGCTTATTCATTGATTCAAAACACTGCTGTTGAGCCCCTGACACTGACTCTATATCATAGACCCTGGGTATAACTGGGAATAGAGTAGGAGTTTCAGGAGATGAGGTAAGCAGACAATGTGGACAAGACTCCAAAACCAATCTTCAAGTATCATAAATGTTGGACAGAAATAAATACAGCTGTCATCTAAAGGTAAATGAGAGACAGAACAGTATCCCAAGAAATGGGAACATCATGTCAGCAGCTTTGCAGAGGGAGAGGGAGAGGGGAAGGGAAAAGGAAGAAGAGGAGAGTGAATTAAATTTAGAAGATTCAAGTAATTAAAGTTGATATGTTTTATTTTGGTTTTGTTTGTTTCTGTGTGTGTGTGTGTGTGTGTGTGTGTGTGTGTGTGTGTGTGCGCGAGCACGCGCGCGTGTGCCGCGCGTGCACACTGGTCCTGGAACTTGAACTCAGGGAATAGACACTGTCCCTGAGCTTCTTTGGCTCAAGGCTAGATCTCTACCACTTGAGCTACAGCACCATTTCCAGCCCTTTCTCAGTAGTTTATTGGAGATAAGAGTCTCACAGACCTTCCTACACAGGCTGGCTTCAAACCTCAACCCTCAGATCTCAGCCTCCTGAGTAGCTAGGACTACAGGCCTGAGCCACTGGCACGCAGCTCTGTCTTGTTTAAACTATCTACAAGTTTAAGCTAAAACTGTCTAGGAAAATTAACTTCTAGGAGGTTTTCCCACTTCATTGACAATTGCTTTTCAATTCTCCTTCTTGCTATGTCTAAACATCTAGTCTGCATTGAGCTCAGCCCCATGGACTCTATATCCAAAGTCTCTCTCAGAGGACCTCACTTAGGCTTCATATTTGCTTGCAGCTATCACATTTTCTTGATTCTTAGCTCCAAACCCTTCCACTGCTTCTCCACTTGAAATCTAGTAGCCATCTCAAGTAAGACATATCCAAAACCTGACTCGACATTTTATCCACAAAGTGTCCCTCCCCAGGATTCTCATGTCAGGAAATAGTAATCTCTTCTAACATCATCTTAACTCAACTCTTTCCTCTGAGGCTCATCTGCAATCCATCTGCAGATCCTATCTCTTTATCTGGAAAATACAGTAAGAACATTCTCGCCCTTCAATAACCTGCACCACCATTACTCTAACTCAAGCCCACCATCATCTCTAGCCTGGAATAGCTCAACAGCTCTGTAATTGTGCATGTACTTCCACCTTTATCCTCTACCATCCATTTGCAGCCCAGGGCTAGAGAGACCCTTTAAAAATCAGTCAGATCAGTGCTGGGAGTGTGGTTCAGATGGTAGAGCACATGCCCAGCAAGCACAAAGCCCTGAGTTCAAATCCCAGTGCTGCCAAATAATAGCAGTAGTAGTAGTGGTAATAGTAGTAATAGTAGTAGTAGTAGTAGTAGTAGTAGTAGTAGTAGTAGCAGTAATATAAAGTATCAGATTGTATCATTTACTTAAAACCCTCTGCAGTTTGCAATCTTACTTGAGTAAAGCCAAACTCCTTATGAGTAGCCCATGTACCTTTTATGGACTTCATAACCTTCAACTCCCTGGGTTTTTCCTTATCCTCCTTGCTCTCACAACTTCAGCCACACTAGCAGTGCTGGTCCCCAGTCTCACTCATCACATTCTTGCTTCAGGTCCTTTGTACTTACTGCTTATTGTCTAAAACCCCTTTGCCAATATCTATATGCTTCACTGCTTAACTTTGTTGAGTCTCTGCTCAAGTGTCACCTGCTCTATGAAACCTTCTCAATATCTAGTATGAAGTAGTAGCCTTCCTCACACTGCTTTATTTTCTTCTGCAGCTCTTCTGTGTCATATACATATCTCAGGGCTGGAAGCTCATACCTGTAATCTTAGTTACTCAGGAGGGTAATATCCAGAAGATCATTGGCCAAAGCCAAACCAGACAGAAAATCTCCCATAAACTAGTACAAAGTTGGGCTGGAAGCCTGGCTCAAATACTATAGTACCAGTTGTGAATAAGCTGACAAAACCAAAAAATCTGAGCAAGATTGAAGTTCTGAGTTCAAGCCCTGATATTGAAAGAGAAATAGATTAGATAGATAGATCTAGGTATATCTATCTAGATCTATATCTATCTATGAATAGAGATATCTATAGACATATATATATGAGAGAGAGAACGAGAGAGCGAGCAAGAGAGAGAGAGAGAGAGAGAGAGAGAGAGAGAGAGAATCTAGTGCCAATGGCTCACACCTGTAATACTATTCAGGAGGCTGAAAACTGAAATCTAGGTTTAAAGCCACCTTGAGCAGAAAAAAATCCCTGAAACTCTTATCTTCAATTAAGCAATGAAAAGCCAAAAGTGGAGACGTGGCTCAAGTGATAGGGTACAGACCCTGAGTGAAAAAGCTAAACCAGGGCACAAGGCCTTAGTTCAAGCCCCAGTATAGACATTATGAATGTATATGTGTGTATGTGTGTATATACACACATACATCCATATACATATATTTTTATGTGTACACATATCCACATATATCCTAGAATGTGAATCTGAGTGCACAGATGTATTTCATTCTTTCCTCTCACCAGAATCATAGAATACTATCTGGCACATCACAGGGGGTTTGGTAGATGAATTGATAAAAACTGAAAATATATCCAGGTGACAGTGTCTCACACCTGTAATCCTAGTTTCTCAGGAGGTTGAAATCTAAGGATTGTGGTTCAAAGCCAGCCTGGGCAGAAAGTCCATATGACTCTTATCTCTAATAAACTGCTGAGAGAAAGCTGGAAGTAGTGCTGTGGCTCCAGTGGTAGCGCACTAACCTTGAACAAAAGAAGCTTAAGGACAGTGCCCAGGCCCTGAGTTCAAGCCCCAAGACTGGCCAAAAAGAAAACCTGAAAACGTTATTAATTCTTTTGACCGTAAACAGAATTTCCTATTTTTCTTTTTTTTAATATAAGACTGAGACTTGAACTTGCTATCTGACACTTTATACTCATTGCCAAGCACCCTAAAACTTGAGCCATGCATCTAAGCCCTAGAATTTCCTATTTTAAGTTACTTAAATTACTCCATTACATCCCTAATTAACAGTTATTTTAAATAAAATATACAAAACTAAGTAGCACTATGACATTTCACACACACACACACACACACACACACTCACATACACACATATACACATATACATACATACATATACACACAAATGATCCTCTGACCCAAGCTGAACAATCAGTAGGCCTCATATCCCTCCTTCCTCTCCCTTGGCTTGGCTTGACACTCACTAAGATGTTTTAAATTTCCACAATGTCTTAAAGATAATATTTCACTTGTAATTCTCCTATGTTAGTAATAGTATTTTGTAACTACTTGTCCAATATCAATAACTCTTGGCAGATACTTCAGAGATAACTCTTGGTTAAAAAAAAAAAAACCTCTTCCAGATAATTCAAAGAAAAAACACAAGTAGCCAATAAATATATGACTCCTGTTTGTATAGGTTAATGTTTCCTAGAATAGTTATTATTTAGTAATCTAAAAAGCTTGGAAAGAAGCAGAGTGGAATCACTTGAAGAAGGCCAATACCAGCAAAAGGTTTCTTAAAGAGCAAGCAAAGGCAGACACTGGAAAAGCTTGGTACTGCTGAGTAGCGGACTTGAAAGAAATACCTGTGATAGAACAGTACACAATATGAGGAGCAATCTTGTCTACATCTTCATAGCCCAGGCCCATTGCGGACAGTTTTCCAGGAACATAGTTTTCCACAAATACATCACAAACAGCTGCAAGCTGAAAGAAGAAGATGAATCAGACTAGCTGGGAGGTATGGTTCACATCTGCTATCCGAGTTACTTAGGAGGCTAAGATCTGAGGATTGGGATTCAAAGCCAGCCTGGGCAGACAAATCCTAGACTGTCATCTCAAACTAACCAGCAAAAGCCAGAAATAGAGATTTGGATTAGGTGGCAGAATACCAGCTTGACCAAAAAAGCCAAGTGAGAACACAAGGCCCTGAGTCCAAGCCTCAGTACAAGCCCCCATGCTAAATAAAGTGTCAGACTTCTTAAGAGACTTTCAAACTTTAAACAACTTTTCACATACATGATAGAATTGTAATTTCAATATACATAATGAATTCTGACTTTATAAGAAGCCAGAAAAGTCACAGGAGATGAAATAAATTTAGTTAAACATAAAATTCCCAGTTAACTAAAGCCTTTATTATCATTAAAATAATAGCTATTAATTTGTTTTGTGAAAACATAGTATTCCTAGATTGTTCTCCCTCCAAGTCCAAGAAACGTTCAGGCTAAATTGTCCATACAAATGTAGTGCCACAAGAATGGGTAGAATAATTAGACAGTAAGTACATAAAACATAGGAAAAGCATCTTTGGAAACTAGTCAATAATTTAAGCTTGGGGTATGGATCAGTGGTAGAGAGCTTGCCTAGCACACACAAGGTCCTGGGTTCACTCTCTAGCACTGCAAATAAATAAATATGTTAGCCAATTAATTAAAATTTCATTGGCATTATCAAGAGATTTAGATGTATGCGCGCATACACTCACACACACACACACACACACACACACACAAACATAACAAAATAATACTGCAAACCGAAAGTGGGCAAAAATTTTCTTTCAAAGATCAGATAGTGGTGGGATGGGAAGGTAGCTCAGTGGTAGAGTGCTTGCCTTGAATGCATGAGGCTCTGGGTTCAACTCCTCAGCACCACATTAGCAGAAAAAGCCAGACATGGTGCTTGGCTCACATGGTAGAGTGCTAGCCTTGAGCTGAAGAGCTGAGGGACAGCACCTAGGCCCAGAGTTCAAGCCCCATAACGGACAAAAAACAAAAAAGATCAAATAATAAATATTTTAGGCTTTCTAAGCCACATACATTCTATGTCACATATTCTTCATGTGTGTATATGTGTGTGTGTATGGATGCACACATGGCAAATACTGGAGCTTGAACTTAGAGCCTCAATCTCTTGCTCATCTTTTTTACTTATCACTGGTGCTCTACCACTTATGCCACAGCTTCAGTCCAGCTTTTTGCTGGTTAACTAAAGATATAGAGACAAGGATTTTTCCATGCAGATGAGCTTTGAACACAGTATATTTACTTAAAAAGGTCAGCCTACATTGTTGGATGGAATTTATAACAAAAGTCCACAGACTGTCCTTAAAGGAAAGTCTTTTTAAAACACTTTTATTCTAATGTTCAGATCCTTAATTACAACCTCAGCAGTCAAATGCCTTCTGTAAAGAATACCTTACCTCTTTGATGATTTTCACCCCTTGTGGATCTTTGATATTAACAGCTATGCTCTAAAAATAAAAATAGACACATTAAAAATATTATTATAAATGCTTTACTAGTGGTAGCTCAGTAAGAGTGCCATTCATATGTTAGTCTCTCCCTTTAAAGCAAGCTTATCTTGCTCATGAGGAAATATTTAATCATTATTGATTTTATTTACAGCTAGGGTATATTAGCCTGATAAGGATTACAATGAATGTTTTTCAATGTTAATTCCAAGTGTTAGGCAATTTGCATTCTTTAAAAGGGTAACAATTGTAATTAATCAAATTATTTCCATTCCACAAAATAATTTCTATGATAATTCTCATGTTTTAAATTACTTAGTAGAGAAGGAAGATTGGGAGAAACCTTGACACTTGGCGAATGAATATTTGAAATACTAGTTACATATACAAAAACAATAATAAGCCACGATATCAAAAGTTTGGTTATTATGCAATAAAATTACATGAGTAAGGCAAAAAGAAAGACATCCTTACTTTTTTATTTCTATTAACACTGAGAAAATATGTACTTTCTGTGTCCACAAAAGGTGGCCCCCAAGTTCGTGTGTCATCACCAATTCCTAGGAATAAAAACATGTACTATTATGAATCTCTGAGACATCATGAGTACTTTTATCCATCAGGCTGCCTCACATCCACATTCGCATCCACAGGTACCTGCAAATCAGCTCAGCCCTGGGGATCCTCAGCTCACAGCAGCTGAAAGCTCCTTGGAACTGCCCAACTCTTTACTTTCTTTGCTAACCATTACATCCTTCCATATAGCTTTTCAACTAAGTTGCATCCTTGAAAGTCTAAATCCAAAAGGACAGCTACTTCTAGGAAGTCTTCAGATTTAGTAAGGGGTAAACGTCAGATGTTCTCATTACTATCCATTTTTAGGAAGCAAGTTGTTCAGCTCTTTCAGTGTTTCTTAGATACTATGGAGTCTGCAAAAAGTTTCTTGTTAAAGACAATTTAAATCAGAAAAATGATGTGAGTGTTTATGGTAAAGCAGTATCTGAGGCTAGGTATATAACAGTGATTAATAATTTTATAAAGTCTGTAACAACAACAAACCAGAAAAGTCTAAGTAGGTTACCCAATATAAAATGTTAACAATTTTAAACACTACTTGGGAATAAAATCTTAGTTATCTAGGTCTTACCTCAAAGTAAAAGTCTAACTGGCATAGTGGCTTACTCCTGCAATCCTAATTACTCAGGAAACAGATTGGGAGGATCAAGGTTCTAGTATTGCTCAAACAAAAACATCTGGTCTGGGAAGGTGGCTTAGTGGTAGAGTGCTTGCCTGGCATGCACGAAGCCCTGGGTTCAATTCCTCAGTACCACAAATGCAGAAAAAGCCAGAAGTGTTGCTATGGCTCAAATGGTAGAACTCTAGTCTTGAGCAAAAGCAGCTCAGGACAGTGCCCACGCCCTGGGTTCAAGCCCCAGGACTGGCAAAAAAAAAAAAAATTCTGAAGACTTCATCTCAAACAAAGCTAGGTATGGAGGCTCGTGCCTGTCATCTCAGTAAGGTAGGAAATGTACATAGAATGATTGTGGTTCAGGCCAGACCCAAGCAAAATAATCAAAGCAAAAAGGGTTGGGGAAGTAGCTCTAGTGGTAGAGTACTGGCTTAGAAGTACAAGGCCCTGGGTTCAAACTACCCAGTACAACCAAAAAAAAAAAAAAAAAAAGGCCAAAAGAATAAAACTGTTAAAAAAAATTGGATATTTTATTCCATAGATCTACCTGGAATAATGTTTAAATATACTGATATTTGATTCAGATGTAAAAATAGAATTTTTAAGTGGATTTTAGCACAGAACAAGTGGCAAAGGATATAGATAGGAGTCAGAAAATGATTCAATAATTAAATGTCATACTTAAGATTTTTCAAAGTTCTAAATAAATGTTACAGTTGGCTATCTAGGCAATTACAGCTAAAATAAATCTGTGTGCATTTAAATAGTACAATCTAATAGCCATTAGATTTCGTTCAAAATCAATCAAGGAAAAAATAGGTACTATCTTTATAATATAAAAGAGAGGCAAAAATAAACTCATTTATTTAAAAAAAAAAAAAAAAAAACAAATTCACAGGAGAAACAGTGCACAGAACAGGAGAAAAGGCTTGTTACCCTAACTGGAGGTAAACCAATAATGACACAAAGCATGAACTGCTAATTATCAAAAGGTCTGGGGAAAGAATGAACCACTAGTCCACAAAGGGAATTACCCAGTAAGAAGCCAGCCAGTGGCTTCACGGAAATGTGTGCGTGAATTGGCTCTTCAGACAGAGCTTGCAGAGAAATTACCAGAGAATCCAGCCACTCCTATTTTTTTTAAGTCATCATCCATTAAAAGGAGGAGAAAGGGGAGGGAAAGGAGATGCCAGGAGCCAACTAAAATTAGATCATTTCAGTGTTTGCATTCTTCTCTCAGGTAGAAACAATGTCAGAAGTCTACACTGGAAGCCTACAAAATGCCTCTCTCTCTTTCTCTCTTTTTCTCTTTCTCTCTCTCCTCTTCTTCCTTTCTTCCTCTCCCTCTCCCTCTCTCTTCTACTATCTCCTTTCTCTCCATACATATAGATACATATATGCATGTATATATACACATCTATATACATATACGTATACAATACATACACATATATAATATATATACACACATAAATGTATGTATGTATATTACACTTTACTCAAATTTTATGTAGCTTTAAACTGGATTAAAACAGCACTTGAATACATATAGTATACTTTAAAAGATGCTTTATATGCTCCACATGATATACATTAACTTGTAGAGCAAATAAAAGGACAAGAATGAGACCAGATGCAGCTGGAAGAACACAAACTTAAGTCCTGCCCCTGGTTTGTTTTTTGTCGGTCGTGGGGCTTGAACTCTAGGCCTGGGCACTGTCCCTCAGCTTTTCAGCTCAAGACTAGTGCTCTACTACTTGAGCCACAGCGCCACTTTCAGCCTTTTCTGCTTATGTGGTGCTGAGGAATCAAACCCAGCGCCTCATGCATGCAAGGCAAGCGCTCTACCATTGAGCCACCATCCCAGCCCCAGTCCCGCCCCTTATTCTTGGGATAAAACAAAGTTTTAGAGAGGCAGAAAGAGCAACACAAATACACATGACAGATAATGCAAGGCTAAAGGTAACAACCTGTAACACAGGAAGCCTGAGAAGTATCTTTTATTTGACCCACACAAAAATTTCACCTGGTCTTTCCACTTTTATAACTTCTGCTCCAAGATCTCCTAAATTCATAGTAGCAAAAGGTCCCGCCAGTACCCTGCAATGTAAACAATGATAAATGACCATCTGAAAAAGTTCTGTATTAATTGTTCTCTTAATAGTACATCAGCACAGATATGCTCAGGTAATGCTTGTAAGAATCAAAATCGTTAAAACTTTAATTTGAAAACATAAAATTTAAATTTAAAAAAACTTTAACTTGTCCATTTGTATCAAGGAAGCCTTGCAATGGTATATCTCCTTCAAACAGCTAACTCATAGGTTAGCAAAATGAATACCAACAAACTGAAACCTGTGTTGTTGGGACTGGGGTGAGATCAAGGGGAAAGGAGCAGACAAATGTGAAAAATGGGGGCTGGGAAGGCGGCTTAGTGGTAGAGTGTTTGTCTAGCACACATGAAGCCTTGGGTTCAATTCCTCACTACTACATAAACAGAAAAGGCCAGAAGTGGCACTGTGGCTCAAGTGGTAGAGTGCTGGCCTTGAGCAAAAGAAGCTCAGGGACAATGCCCAGGCCCTGAGTTCAAGCCCCAGGACTGGCAAATAAAAATAAATACTTAGGGGGCTGGGAAGGTGGCTCAGTGGTAGAGCACTTGCCTTGCATGCATGAGGCCCTGGGTTCGATTCCCCAGCACCACATAAGCAAAAAGAAAAAAAGCCAGAAGTGGCGCTGTGGCTCAAGTGGTAGAGCTCTAGCCTTGAGCTGAAGAGCTGAGGGACAGTGGCCAGGCCCAGAGTTCAGGCCCCACGACCGGACCCAAAAAAATAAATAAATAAAAACTTAGAAAAAATGTGAAAAATGGAACCAGGTAACTTGAGGGGATGAGTGGGGTTGTGAGAGATGAAGACTGATGGAAGGGTCGACACTGATTGAGATGCAGTATACTCGTAAGTTGACAGGTTGAATTGAAAACCCTTTGTACAATTACTTAAGAGAATTTTTAAGTATTTTTAAACCAGGCACCAGTGGCTCACACCTGCTATCCTAACTACTCAGGAAGCCAAAATCTCAGGATGGTAGTCTAAAGCCAGCCTAGCAAGAGAATGTAAGACTCATCTCCAATTAACTACCAAAAAACCTTAAGTAGAGTAGTTGTGGATCAAGTAGCAGAGCACCAGCCTTGAGCAAAAAAAGGCTCAGGGATAGCACCAAGGCCCTCGGTTTAAGCTCCAGGACTGCCACACACACACACAAAAAAAGTACTATCTAATTTTTGATTTTTTTAACATTACATATGAATATGTAGCAAAAAATCATGACTACTTCACAAATGTATCTTTTAGAATAATTAGATTCCAGGAATTTTTATTTTCTTTTTTTCTTCCTTCCCCCCATTTCTATGTAATTATCTCCTTATAACCCAAAACAAACTTTTTGAAAGAAAGGAAAAACTCAATCACCAAAATATAGATAAGCCAAAACAAACCTTGTTAGATCCAGAATTTTTACACCTTCCAATGGCTTCACATTGTCAGTGTCTGGCAAAACACAGAAGAAATATTTGAAGACTATTGATTACTAATATTCAGAGTAAAAATGCATGTGTCTATATCCTATTGTATGTAATCTCTATGGCTATAAAAAAGTAACAATTTTTTCAAAATTCTCCATTATAGGTAACAGGTACCTTAGCCTGACCCCATTGAAAATAAATCACTAAAAATGAAAGCTTCTAATAACAGACTAGTCCTAATTAACAAAGTCCATAACTACACTGAATACATTTTGTCAGGGGAAAAATTAAAAGTAAACCTACAGGGACATTTCACATTTAGGATGCCAAAAGAAACAATACAGAGCTGTATGTATTTGGTCTTTCTAGACAGGAAGGAAACTATGAATCATAAAAGTGTATTAAATGATTTACTATCATTTGTGTATTTCCCTTTCTCTACTTACCTATCAGCTACAAACACAGCAATGTAGCTATTTACAGCTTTAATCATATTGGCAATTCATTGAACACATTTAATATCAACATTGAATCACAGTCAAATTTTAGCCGAATGGTCTCCATATTTTAGATCATAATGACTAGGACCAAGCTGAGTTTATGTTTAAGTGCTAATGAGCCCAGATGTGGGACAGGCCTGTAATCCTAGCATTTGGAAAGGCCAGGCAGGAAAATTAAAACTTTGAGGCCAGTTGGGTGCTGGTGGCTATGATCCTAGCTACCCAGAAAGCTGAGATCAGAAAATCTCAATTCAAAACCAGCCTGGGCAGGGAAGTCTATGACACTCTTATCTCCAATTAGCCACCAAAAGGCTGGAAGTGAAACTGGCTGAAGTGGAAGAGGACTAGACTTGAACACAATAGCTCAGGGACAGCACCCATACCCTGAGTTCAAGCCCCAGGACCAGCACCAAAAAAATTTTGAAAGTTTGAGGCGTCTGGGCAACCTAGCAAGACTCTGTTTCTACCCCCATTCATATCTTTCACACACACGTACACACACAAACACAAAGCCAATTCTATAAGGGAAAATGATAAACTCTCATTTTCATGTTTTTTTAAACAGATTTGTTTTACAGCAGTTTTAAGTTCACAGCAAATGTAAGTGGAAGATATAGAGATTTCCCACAAACCCTTCCTGCCTCCACACTTTCAATACCCTGAGCTGGGGAGGGGAGGAGGGGCGCACACCTGTGATAATCAATGAACCTGCATATCAATACATTTTTATCATCCAGAATCCATAATTTATATCTGAATTCATTCTTTTTTGTCCCCCTTTAGGAGATATTACGATTTGAAAGCAGCCCGACCCCTGGCTGCCTGGGACCTCAGAACCAAAAGCGGACCATAGAACCCAAACGCAGAAAACACCCACCGTGCGGGACCCGGACAATGTAGACAGAGACAGAGACCAGAGGCAAGGTACAAACCCAGACCCGGATCTCCCACTGCCACACTGCTCAGCCCACAAGCACAGCAACCGAGTGTGGTGGCGATTGGCAACCAGCGAACTACAGCACATAGATACAGCGATCCGCCACAGCACCGTGAACAGCCTCTAATAACCAGTTCCAGAATCAGCGAGTACCCCACGGGGGATGCCCCCTCCACCATAGGAAGAGCAGCCTGTGAAGCGAGTCCCACCTGTACCTGTGCAAGGGCTCCAGAGGCCCCAACCTCTGTGCCCAGGTTGGGAGATGTAGCAGCCTCCACCGCCAGAGCCTGGCTAAGTGGAGCTGGGAATAGTGCTTAAGCTATAGCTGCTGGAGGAATTCCCTCAAGCCGCTGTGTACCCCAACCGGGATCCTAAGCCGCCTAGGCCACTGGACCCTGACCTACCGGTACTGCGAAACATGACTGTGCTTCTGCTGCTGGAGGAGCACCCACTAACATCAGGAGCCACCAAGAAAGTACATACAGTGGCCCTAAGGTTAGGGACCCACTGGGAACCAGCCGAAGCCAAACAAGGGCTCCCGCCTGTGGAACACGAACAGGTAGCGCTTGGGCCACAGATCTCACAAATCCTGAATCTAAATCACAAGGAAAGATGACAAGATTCCTGAATAATCAAGACAACACGCCAAACCCCAAAGCAAGCAGCAACCCAAGAAAGAACTCCAGTGAGAGTGAAGAAGAAATGGAGGACAAAAGATTAAATAAGGAAAAGATGGCAGAATTGGCTAAAGTAGTGAGAGTTACAACAGCAATTTCAAGAGTACACAAAAAGAAATATCAAAGGCATTCTAAGACTTAAAAAAAGAGATGCAGTCAAAAATAGACACAATACATACCTTATTAAAAGATGAAATTAACACTTTGAGAACTGATAGAGAAACCATAAATGGATCGATTTCTGCAACCACAACGAAAGCCACAGGTAACAATGAAATGAAAAATAGAATATCAGGAGTTGAAGACGAAACAGAGGAGCTGGAGAAGAAAGTCATATATATGGAAAAAACACTCCAAAATTACCAAAGGTAAGTCCAAGAACTGTCAGACAATGCCAAGAAATCTAATCTTCGTATCCTTGGGATAGATGAAGGAAAGGAATACCAGAATAGCGGGATGTAACGCTTATTCATAAGATTATTACAGAAAATTTCCCCAATCTCAAAAGAGAAAACCTCACCCTCATAACAGAAGCATACAACACAGCTAGAAGACAAGATCCTAGAAGAAATACTTCCAGACACATTGTAGTAAAGACACTAGACCTGAATTGCAAAGAGCCAATTTTAAATGCTATAAAATCAAAGAAGGAGCTATACTATAATGGAAAGGGAATTAGAATCATTGTGGAACTCGCCATGTAAACCCTCAGTGCAAGGACAGCCTGGAAAAGTACCATCCAAGCCCTGAAAACCAATAACTGCAACCCAGACTGGTATATCCAGCAAAACTAGCATTCACATTCGACGGAGAAACAAAAAATTTTAATGCTAAAGAAAAATTAAAGCCAGGCACCGGTGGCTCACACCTGTAATCCTCAGGAGGCTGAGATGGGAGGATCGCCATTCGAAGTCAGCTGGGGCAGTGAGACTCTACCTCCAATTAACCACCAGAAAACCGGAAGTGGTGCTGTGTAGAGCCGCTCCCTTGAGTTAAAGAGCTCAGGGACAGCGCCAGGCCCAGAGTTCAAGCCCCACTGTAACAACCAGTGGGGCCCCCGCCGATAATCAGCGGGGCCCTGTGGCCCAGCCTGCGGGAGGAAGCGGAGCATAGGAGGGCTTCAGCGCTCCACAGACCCCACCACCAGACGGAGCAAGGCATTGAGAGGCTGAGGTCACTGCCACAGGGCGTGCCATTCCGCTGAAGGGGCGGGGCATGCCGCTGAAGGGGCGGGGCATGCCATCGAAAGGGGGGCATGCCATCGAAAGGGGCGTGCCGTGCCGCCGAAGGGGGCGGGGCATGTCGCCGAAACGGGCGGGGCATGTCGCCGAAATGGGCGGGGCATGCCGCCGAAGGCACGGGCTTGCTGTGGAAGTCGGGCTCCACAGGGTGAGCTGTCAAAAAGTGATTGGACAGTGGGCAGCTTCTAGGAGGAACCTGAATGGCTACAGCAGAGTAGTAGGAGTAGAGGGAGAGACGGCAGGAGGGGAAAGCCTACCGGAGCAGGGCAGGGCAGGCCTCCAGAGGCCATGTGGGGCTTCTCGAGGAAGCCATTTGGGGCCTCCTTGAGAGGTCATTTGAGGCCCCCTCTGCAGGCCATTCGGGCCTCCTTGAGGGGCCACTCGGGGCCTCCCCCGCATGTCATTTGGGGCCTCCTCCAAGGGCCATTTAGGACCTTCTCCGGAGGTGATTTGGGGCCTCCTCTGGAGGCCATCTGGGACGTTCCTCTGGAGAGGCCTGTGGAGAGGCGCCCCCCGGAGCAGAGCAGGACAGGCTTGTAGACAGTGGAGAGGCCTGCAGAGAGGAGGAAGGAAAGAAAAGGAAAAGCCTTCCCCATTGGAGGTTTGGAATTTTGGAGGTCTGAGGTTTGGAAGTTTGCAGACCAACTAACTGGTGGTTTACAGACAAACTAATAAAGGTAGGAGGTTTGGTGGTTGAGGCTGCTCTTGGTTCTGGGTATCTAGCCCAGGACAAGGTAGTAGCAGGACCCCTTTCTGGTGTAAATAGTATAATAAACTTCTTTTGTCTACCTTTCACTGTGCCTCGATGGATTGTCTCACTCTCCAGAGGTCCACGACCAACAAAAAAAGAAAAACGAAAATTAAAAGGAATTCATTAAAGAGAAGCCAGCAGTATAAAAAAAGATACTAAAAGGAGGAATATAACTGAAAGAACATAATCAAGACCAGGGAACCACATCAGACAGAAACCTAGTGGAGACTTCGCTTTATTAATATGAAATATCCTTCTTTGTTTTTTTTTTCTGACTGATTGTATTTTATTTCATATTAGTATTACTACCCCAGCCTGTTTATGAGGGTCATTTTCTTGGAAGACTTTGTTCCAGCCTTTCACTTGAATAGTTAATATTTGAAAACCTCAAGGCCATTTAATGAAAGACAGGGAAAGACAGAGGAATTGTTGCAGATTAGGTAAACTATGAAGACAGGATAACTGAGCAGGCTAGATTAGATTTTGTGATGGAAATAGAATATTAGGAAAAAATGCTGGTGAGTATCAATAAAGCCAATGAACTAAAGCAGTTTAGTCTCTTGGTAATTATACTAAGGTTCTGTGGGTTTTCAGGCTTAGAAGATGCTGATAAAAGACAAGTAGCTTTTTGAACTATTTTTGTAATTATTCTATAAAACTAAAATTATCTCAAAATACAAAGTAAAGGAATTATGTTTCCCCCAAAGCCCCTTATAGGAAACTTCAGTGGTTTGAGAAGGGACAAATATGTCACAAATTTGAAATGTATTATGAAATTGAAATAAGTTACCATGATCCTTACAGAAATCCTTTTACTCTGTTAATGTACATTCTTCAAAGTACACCTATGCCTCAAACTGGGGACCAGTCAGTTAGTGGTCCGTGGCCTTTGTGTCTTGGCAGATACATATTTACTATC